CGCCCCCTATAGTCAGCGATGGAGTCAGCTGACTATGCCGAGGCGCCGGCAGCCACAGCCACTCAGTCTTGGAAGGGTTGAGCCTGAGTCTGTTCCTCCCCATCCAGACCCGTACGGCCTCCAGGCAACGGGTCATCACGTCAAGGGCATCGTTGGGGTGGCCTGGGGTGGAAACACTATTTTCAAATGTTTCCAATGGTTACTTTATTAAATAACAGGCCAGATATCTTGCTTGTGTGTACTCGAATTAGACGTTTTAATGTTTTTTAATGTTTTAATTTTTTTTTACTGTTTTTATTGTTTTAAGCTGTTTTTAAGATTTTGATGGTAATTATTTGTTTCTGAATTGTGAGCTGTCCAGAGTCGTTTGCTGAGATGGAAGACTATAGAAAACAAATAAAATAATAAAATAAAATAAAATAAAATAAAATAAAATAAAATAAAATAAAATAAAATAAAATAAAATAAAATAAAATAAAATAAAATAAAATAAAATAAAATAAAATAAATAAAATAAAATAAATAAAATAAATAAAATAAATAAAATAAATAAAATAAAATAAAATAAAATAAAATAATAAAATAATAAAATAAAATAAAATAAATAAAATAAAATAAAATATAAAATAAAATAAAATAAAATAAAATAAAATAAAATAAAATAAAATAAATAAATGTGATGCATGCAGGTAGTCCTCAACTTACAACAGTTCATTTAGTGACCGTTCAAAGTTACAACGGCACTGAATAAAATGACTTATGACCATTTTTCACAGTTACAACTTTTACAGCATCCCCATGGTCACATGATCAAAATTCAGATGCTTGGCATCTGGTTCATATTTATGACAATTGCTGTGTCCTGTGGACATTTGATCACCTTTTGCGACCTTCTGACAAGCAAAGTCAACTCTGATTGTAAGCTATTAACTTTCACTCTTTACATTTGATAATCTAACAATATCAGCACTGATACCAGGGCTAAGGACAAGCTAGAAAAGCATGAAAGCAACTGATTGCAGAGCATTTTAGCACCAGCAAAGCACCTCTTCTAAGAGCGTCATTTACAAAGCTTGCTCCCATACCTGTTTCAAAGTCTATTCCTGACTGTTTCTGTGCCTGCATATGCAGCTAGTTTTGGGAAGTCTGAATTATAGCCTTAATGAGGCAAGATAATATAGCCACTTTTACACTTTGAGGAAAGGCCTTTTTCATCCAAACGCAGAGTGTGGTGTACAGTTAGTGACTGTTCAAAGTTACAATGGCACTGAAAAAAGTGATTTATGACTGTTTTTCACACTTACAACCTTTGTAGCATCCCCATGATCATGTGATCAAAATCCAGATGCTTGGCAACTGACTCATACTTAAGACCATTGCTGTGTCCCAAGGTCATGAGATCACCTTTTGCAACCTTTTGACAAGCAAAATCAATGGGAAAGCCAGATTCACTGAACAACCATGTTACTAACCTATCAATTGCAGTGATTCATTTAACAATTGTGGCAAGAAAGGTCATAAAATGGGGCAAAACTCACTTAACAAATGTCTCACTTAACAACATAAATTTTGGGCTCAATTGTGATTCTAAGTTGAGGATTACCTGTATCTCTTTCAAAAGCTTTATAGAGCCTTATTATAGGTAGGTTTATAGGATATTGCTAGATAAGGCAATTGCCCTGTAATAGCTTTAAAAGTCCTTTTACACAGGGGTCCCCAACCCCTGGTCCATGGACCGGCACCGGGCCGTGGCATGCCAGAAACCATTCCATGCAAACAAGCAAAGCCCCATCTGCCGATGTAGGCAGTACATGAAACCACGCCCCCTCCAGTCTGCAGAAAAAACTCCACGGAACCCGGTCCCTCGTGCTCAAAAGGTTGGGGACCTCTGCTTTAACAGCAAGCATGCACTCGCTAATGTGAAAGATTCAGCTTCTAATGGGATTAGCAGGAAAACTTTTACTAGGAGAGTCCTTGATTGCACAGACAAGAAGACAAATCTAATTCTGTCACTGGCATCAAACAGTTGATAATGTCTTTCACACTGTCCCCTCTTTTATTTTCTAACCCCGCAAGAAATTGAAGATCATTTTCAATCCATTGGCTCAAAAACTCAAAGGAAAATGAAAAACATTAGCTTATCTTGACCTTACATTATATTTCTTTGTTTGGCATTCTACAAGGTATCCTAACTATTCCTGGGGATGAGGCAGGGGAAGCTGAAAAGAGATCAAGGTACGTTTTTCCCATGGAAAGTTTTACCATCTTGTTTATGCAAAATGGTTTACCTAAAACAAAGTTTTACAGCAGCAAGTACACCATGAGAATCACAGCGGTACAAAGCTGATCCTGGAATGAGTAAGCTATTTATACTTGATCTTCAAAGCAATATTCTGTTCTGCTCTTGCATTGCACATATGTTGTCTATTTGACTTCTGATACACAAAAATAGATCAAATTCAACTAAAGGCCATAACTACAATTCATTCAGCACCATTGTAACTTTGAACAGTTGCTGAACAAATGGTTGTTAAGCAATGGCCTGCTACCATTTGTTATATATAAACTGAAAATTAGGCAGCGGTTCACTTAAGCTGTTAAGACCTAATTCTGTGTTGAATCTCAGGCTTAGTTCTAGAATATTTGATGACTAAAAAAAAGGGCTCCGATCATGTACTGTGTGTTTAAAAAATACACTACAGTCATCTTCCACATATATGGGACCTAGAAAAGAGTTTCCATACAAATTACAAATAAATAAAGAAGCTAAATATTTAGGAATAAAACAGATTAGAAGAATATCCCTATGGCTTTTATAACAAATCCAGAAGGGATAGATACCATGAAACCTAATTTCTTCAGGAAATCTTGGACTATATTATAATAGCTTTACATCCATTCCCCATCAGTTTTTTTTATTGTTTATAGCCCTTCAGGAGATAGTGAAACCTATACACGATCCCATCCTGCAATACACTTGGAATTTATACTCAGGTTATGTGAAGATATGTGATACACTTGTACTGTCAAAGCCATAAGGGTCCAGCCCTAATGTTAGCAAGATAGAATATGCTAAAGAATGGGAATATTATTTATGTGGGTCAATCAGAGATTGACAGATGGACAACAAATTACGTGGGATAAATAATAACTAAAAGGAGATCTGAACATGATTACCTCTATGCCATAGAGTTTATAGCCTGGACTGCACATGAAGTAAAATGAGGTAGAAATGGAATTATGAAAGTGGTGATATGGTAGAATAGATATAATACCAGTTTAGAACGGGAAAGGACATAGACAAGAAGTATTTTGCATGCAGAGAACAGTCTCTGCAAATAGAAAATTGGAACATCAAAGGAAAGGTTAATCAGGTTTTTCTTCCTCCAGTTTTGACATTTTAAAAAAAGTATTTAGCACGTGTTGTTTTAATATGAGAAATACTGAAATGCCAATTGCCAATGAGGATGGTCTGCAGTCTGAAGCAGTAGGTCCATGATACTTGCCTGGATGTAAACTAAGTGAGTCCGTTTTATTTGTTGGGAGAAATGTGAATAATAATGGGCTGGATCCACATTACAAGTGGAGATATATATCACACTAAATCTAAACTAGATCTAAGCCTAGTCTGTATATCCATGACAGTTGACAGGATTCTAACCATCAGCCCAATGAAAGGTGTGCATCTCTGGCTCAAAATCAAATCATGTTTTGACCTTTCAATTCAACTAGTCTTATGCATACCTATTCACAAGATAATTTCATGTATTTAATGAAACTTAATCTGAGGAGTGCACATAGAAACTTAAGTCGTAAGTACATCGGACCACAAAGAAGTTAGTTCAGTGTTTTCAAACTTGACAACTTTAGAATTTGTGGACTTCAACTCCCAAAATTCCCCAGTCAGCGTGGGAAGATGGGAAAGAGACAACAGAGGTGATACCTTAAAACGAGGCAGTCTTCAAGACACTTCTTCAAAATAAGAAAAAGGAGATGCGTTCTTCCAGCAGGCCATAGCGCCTTCAAAGAACTCCGTTTTGTAGACGGCGCTTTTAGAGAATATACGGTAAGCCAAAGGCTTCCGTCAATCTTACTCGGGGCGGCCCGAAACCACACCGGATGTTTACACGCTGCATTTCCGCACCAACGAAATAGTCTCTATGATCGGCCGCCCCTGGGACCGCTGAGGGGGTTGGATGCGCCTGCGCGAGCCGGGCCCCTTTAGGCCGCTCCTGCCGCCACGACCATCCACGGAACTGTATGCGTTGAGCGGAGACGCGCGGGCTCGGCGGCAATAACAGCCGCCCCGCCCTCTCCCCTCCGGTGGGCCCCGCTGCGCCGCCGTGAGGAGCCGGTTCTCCTCCCCGCGTCCTCCTGCTCTCGGCCGGGCCGCTGGCTCCCCTGGAGTTCCGCGACGGCAAATGGTGGGGCCGGAGGATGCCGGAGCTCAGGGCGGCGCAGCCTTGCTTCCCTCGGGCCGGGACAAGGAGGCGGAGGAGGCGGCGGAGGAGGCGGAGGGCGAGGAGGAGGATGCGGAAGCGGACAACGAGCGGGATGGGAGCCGAGAGGGCTCCCGGGACCGACTGCATCGCTACCTGGCCGGCAAGAGGCCGCCCAACGGGGACGCTTGCGGCGGAGGGAGGATGACCAACGGGGACGCCGGCTTTCTGCTCCTCTCGCCGCCGCCGCCGCCCCGCGAGGGCCCGCCGGGCTCCGAGGCGACCGCGTCTCCGCAGCGCGGCGAGGAGAAGCTACACAACGGCGGCTGCGCCTTGTTCCTGAGCGGCGTGGCCGTCGCTGAGCCGCCGAGCGGGAGCAGCCTGGCGGGGGCTGCCCTGCCTTCGGCCCCGTTTCCTTCGCCCACCTCCTCCTCGTCCTCCGCCGCCGCCGCCTCGTCCTCGTCCTCCTCCGCCGCCTCCAGCTCCTCGGGGACCCCTGAGGAGGCGGAGAGCCTGTCTTCCCCGGCGAGGGCGCTCCCTTGCCTGCCCGCCTTGGCCTTCATGGACATCAGCCTCAACTCGCGAAACACCTTCGAGGTGAACCGCCGCCGCAGCGCCCCCGTGCACTTGCCGCCGCCGGAGCCTCCGGACGCCCCCTCCACCGGCGCCCACACTGCGGCGGCCGGGTCAGAGCAAGGGGATCGGGCCAAACGGCTGAGTGGGATCTCCGGGTCCAGTTTTGCAGAATTTTTCACGAGGTAAAAATTACTCATCGTGCCCCTCCCTTGTGCGTGTAGAGAAAAGGTACGGTTACGGGTGCCGCAGACCCGAGTTGTGCAATTCTGGGCTCTTATGAATGAAGGCGAGTAATACGTGTCCCAGGGTCCAATCTGGGAGACGGGCTCCAGCACGAGTCCGAAAGCTCGGGAGGCAAAATCCTCTGGTCCCGGTGACCGACCCAGATTGGGCTCCTCAGTCGCTGATCCTCAATAGCATCGATCTTCCCAGCCTTGTAGTGGCAGCCGCCCATTCTTGCTGGCTTTCCTCTCGGGTTAGATAGGCTTGCCGTGGAAGGATAGTGTCTAACTTTACTTAAAAGACTTGGCTTTGCAGAGGTGAATAAGGCTCTGAATTATGGATAGTGTGAGGTTCCTTATTTGCACTTTTTTTTCTCCCAAGCAGGTAGAGCTTTCTGGGTACCCTGACACACTGCAAAGGACAGATATGGAATGAGGGATGGCCTGCTAAAAAATGTTAGGCTAGGAAATTCCTTGTGAAAGAAAGAAAAATCTTAGCAGGTAATGTTTAGGAATGTCTTTAGCACGGCCCCTTAATTTCTGATAAACCAGTTCTGAAGGCAAAAAAAATTTAAACGTGTATAACCTTTAGAGAGATGTCCTTAACTTTATTGAGTGTAGCATTCACTTAAAGTATACACAATTCTAATGCATTAATTGTTTAACTTAGAGTGCATTATTAAAAATATTTTAACTCTGTTCTACTCAAAGATTTCTACCTGTAAATGGGGTACAATCATATTTTATGCTTTGGATAGCATTTTTCTAGTTTTGCACCAAATGTCATATTAATGGAGAATGGGGATAATGTTTTGTGTCAGATGTCTTATTACAATAGCTGCATCTTATGTTACTACACATTTGGTTACATGTGGCATTTTGAAAGTAAAAGGTGCTTTTATTGAATTTAGGGGATTTGACCTCTACATTTCCTTAAAAGCCTATACCAGAAAATATTGGCAAACCTTTTAATCAGAAACATCTATTATCTCTCACTGATCCTTTTTGAAGCAGGGAGCTGTTTTTTGTGACATGTGGAAGAATTTACCTTGATAAATCATTAGCTTCTGAGGCCTCTGAAGTAGCTGCACAAGTACATTAGAATATCTGTTAGAATGAGACCCTACCATTTATAACACTAATGTTTCCTAATCATTCTCCTCTTGCATGTTTCACTGTAATACAAAATGTTATTTTCATATTCTTAACTACAAGTAATTAAAGGCTTTACAATGGTTAGGCTAATAGGAAAAAAAAGAATTCTATTATAGTGCATAGCATACTCCAAATTTAGCAGTTTTCAAGAATGAAACCTTACATCATTATTTGACTGTGTTTTCAGTTTTATGAAGGACCAATGCATTCTTATTTGTTCTTAGCTTCAATAATGCTGGAAGACTTAATGAGTACTGGAAATGGTGGAGTAAAAATTAGCCACTTTAATTTTTTTTCTAAAGGGATTTTATTCTATCACACACTGATACAGTATTCAGTGTCTTGGACATTGAAGCTATTTATAACATTTATGTTATATAATGTCTGTTATGCATGTTAGCTGCCTAGAGTAGCCTCATAGCAAAATAGGCAGCAGATAAATTTAATAAATATATAAATTTATGCTCCCAAGCTTCTGGAAAAAAACAGTAAAAATGGGTAGTTTTTGAGTCTCTAGCTTAATGTTTACAATCTAAAAGCCATGAAGACCTGGATCTTCACCCACGCCTTCAGTGTGGGAGAGTAAAACTGTTCATTATGCTTGCCATTTGTTATTATGTTTTGTTGATTTTATTGTAATATTGTAATTATGAACCACCCAGAGTTATTGAGAGTCAGTTTCAAGTTCAATAAATAATTATTATAAAGTCATGATACAAAAGAAAAACAAGATGGAGCATGTAAAAGAAAACAAGATCATTCAAGCATCAGTTCTTAATGTTACAGGGATTCTAATCTCACCTGCAATAGCTCACTAGAGTGGCTCTAGTCACTAATATGGGAGAATCAAAGAAGAAATTTACTTTTTTGAAGAATATAGGTGGTGGCCCTGCTTTCCTTCTCTCCCTCTGACACAGTGCAGTGGAATGGCTTCTGGATTGTGGCAGTTATTTAGAGCAAGAACTTTAATGCCAACTGTGGCCTTTTTGTGGTAAAAGGTAGGGTGGTAGGGTATTTTAAGCTTTTCCACTATGTTGTTGATATATGATTTAGCATATCTAATAAACTTAAAATCATCTATTTCTTCAACTTTTGTTTGGTGAAGATGGGGAGAGAAGAGGAGAAAGGGGAATGACAGTGGACAGATTCTTTTGAAGTAGCCAGCTAATATCCTGCTGAAACATCTGATGTAATTTACAATACTTGCCGGAATTGTGATTCTTGTGTTGAGGAAGTATCTCATGTCTTAATATTCATGAATAGCTGATTTGTTTCCAGTTGTTCCTTTAGCAATTATCTAGAAACAGTTCTCCATCTGAAATGCTCACTACCTCATAATATAGCTTAATCTAGAAAATGTATCATTAGAGAACTATTAATTTATTTATTTATTTATTTTTTAAACTTCTATGCCGCCCTTCTCCCCAGAGGGACTCAGGGCGGCTCACAGCATGTTAAAAAACAACACAAAAAAAACATTTCCCCTATAAAACCAATTAAAAAGCAAATATATTAATGGCTGTGTCATATTTAAAATCTTTAAAAATTTTTAAAAATTATTCCCTATTTAAAATTCACCCTAGGTCAGTCCCGCTTGNAACACCGCCCGCGCGGCCGCATTCTGGACCAGCTGAAGCCTCCGGATGCTCCTCATAGGGAGCCCCATGTAAAGAGCATTACAGTAGTCCAGGCGGGAGGTGACGAGAGCCTGAGTGACTGTGCGCAAAGCATCCCGGTCCAGAAAAGGGCGCAACTGGTAGATCAGGCGAACCTGATAAAACGCCCCCCTGGTCACAGAAATGTGCCATTTATTCTGAGTGATATAAGAGACTATAGAATTATACCTGTGCTTTTTCTTATGTCTGCTTTCACCATTACAAAGTCGTCTGGGTTTTTTCTAACTGCATTTTCTAAACATCAACAAATCATAATGAATAGAGTAATAAAATTATTTATTTATAATATCTGTAAAAATTGAGTTCCTGTGTTTTTAAGATTGTGATAATCATGTGAAAGCTGTTTGTATTTCTTGAGCAGAACTCTTGCTTCTGCATTCAAGTTTAATTTTCAAGCTTCTTTCTTGTTTACCCTGTGGCAACTTTGTGAAGTAGATTAGGCTGAGAGAAAACGACTGATCCAAAATCACCCAAGGCTGAAGATGGCCTGCACTATGGGTCTCTTAACCACGGTACCATCCTGATTATGTGTCTTGCCTGTGAGGTTCATAGTATGACAGCAGAGACTAAAGCCTGAATTACTTAGTGTTCACGTGAAAAGTATCTTGAAATTGTGCTTCATCATTGATTAAATATGAGTCAGTAGTATGACTTGGCTTTTAAAAAGGAAAAATGCAAATTTGGATTGCCTCAGTGGAGCATAATTTTTCAATCACATGAAGTAATAGTTCCATTTTCTTTTTCATTAGTCAGAGACCAGTTCCAAATATCACATTTTAAAAAAGGTACAGACAACTGGCACAGGTGCAAAAAATGGGAGAGGGCAGTACGGATGATGAAAGCACTGGAAACTAAATTCTACAAAGAGATAAAGAATAAATTGGCTAGGTCTTGGGAAAAGAGAGCTGATAGGGAAGTGTCAGCAAGCATTTTCCAAGTACCTGAAGGGGGATCACAAAAAAGATCAAGACCTGTTTTCTATTGCCTCCAGGTGAAGGATACAGAATAATAGCCTTAATTATAGGCAAACAGATTTTGGCTGAATGTGAGATTAGACTTAAAATTTAAGATGGTAGAAGTGAATGTTTCAGTAGCCATCTGTTTCATGCTTAAATTTGGGTTTCTGCACTGAACATACTTTGATGTAAGGGTATAAGAGGGATCCTTTCCAATTTTATGATTCTGTGATAATTATCTCAATTCCTCACTTTTTGCTTTAACAAGTAGCAAGTAAAAAAAGTTGCTAGTGGTATCTGGCATAATACCTCCTGAAAGGAAAATTGATTCTGTATCCCTTGTAGAGTCATTTAAGAAACTCAGAAGGTATGCAAAATTGCCCCACAATATTGTTAAAAGGGCATGTAAACTATGGACTTTGCTGAGAGTGCATCCTGAGGATCTAATCTGACCCTAATTCTGAGAACCGATAAAAATCACATCTTGGCATATTTGCTTGGTTTATCACTTTTCTTTTCTTTTATAATTCTGCAAAATCTGAAGTTTTCCTGAATTCGTTGATACTTGTTGCTATATCTGGTTGTAACATGAAATGTCAGTTTTATATTGAAAAGCAAATGCTTCATTTCTGCTAAGGCTGTGGTCTAGAACCTCTTTTGAAGCTTGTATCTTTGAGCAGCATTAATAAAGGGTTAGAATATTGATTATCTCACAGTAACACTGTGTCTGAAAATTGAAATTGTATTTTAAGTACTTATAACCACTCTGCTACATTACCCATTAGAAGTAATGTATTTGATGTAGCAGTGTCTGAGTTGTGGAGTCCTAAGATGCTCTCTGAGCTTGGTTGTTTGCTTGCTGACATTTCGTAACCTGACGAGGTAATCCCTTCAGTGTAAGTTGCATGTGAAATTTGGACAAAAATGACCAATGAGTAAAGAAAGACAAACAGCTGAATGCAAATTATAAACATATCCAGACATACCTTTCATACATTGTTATACCTTTTATTACATATTTTATATAGTGCTAAATATGCTGCTAAAACTGTAAATTTAAAGTCATTTACCAAGGAGAATTTATTTCTGAGTTAATGCAATGCAGTAATATAGTTCAGTCCTTTAGATGTTTTTTTACATGCAGTACTTTCATTATTGATACTATAAGAGAAAA